TCCTCGTCAACTATCTCGAATCGAAACCCCATTGTTAAAAAAAATCTTCAGCAACAACTTTTCGACAGCATAAGCTGTTGCTAGGCAACCTGAGTACCAATCCTGAGCTAGTAATTTTTCCCTCTTCTCAAGCAAAATTAAGAAAAAAAAATACCCTCTTCATTGACCAATCAGCATTCAGTAATTTTGCCCCCTGTTTTATTAGTCAACAAAGTATGGATATTCTTCAAAATCCTTTTATAACTTGGAGAATATACAGGGTCTAATGGTGAACAGTATTTTTGCTTCGTTTACCTCTCAGGTAATGAAGCAGGTGTCGTCCGGCACTGTGAAGAGTTTCCTCTTTAACCTGGCCATGCGTTTCAAAAAGGCAGAACTAGAGAGGTAGGCGCTTTCTTCTTCACTACGGTTTATCTATTGCCTGGTTCTCCTGAAGAATAATTGAACTCAAAAGTTTGGCCTCTCCTCCTGGATTTTATGCTCATGATACTATCCGTGGGCGCTCCAATTTCTTAGGAGAGGTCGTGTCCTTTAACAAAGAATATAGAACTGAGCGCTCGTCAGTTGTTCTGGAGAAAGCAACGTTAGCAGAACTGTGTTGAACAATGTGAAGTGTTTTGTGCCTGTAGGACTGTTCCAAATAATCGACACTTTTCCCTCTCTTTCTTCTAGGAATATAGTCCGTAAAGACAGTATATGGGATTACCTGGTGTTCAACAAAATTCAGGTATGTATAACGTATTGTTTTGTACTAATTTTTCTCGGTTGTTGTCCAGGAATCAATCGATGTCGTTTGCGGTAACAGCTTCTAGAATTACCCCGATCTTCTAAGAGTCGTTGTCTTGAAATCGCGTTACCCTCTTCCTTGCTCACGACTCTTTCTTTCCTTGACTATTTCATAGAAGCCAGAAGAGGGTTTGAGGGCAAATTTAGAATAATTATTGTAAGATTATGCGATTGTGCTCAACTCGGACACCCAGAAAACAATCCCTTGCGGCGAAGAAGCGATGCATCAGAGATAATCGAGACTTGCTTGATGTGTCATAATGCTGCGTTGTGATTCGTTTAAAAATCCATGAACCGTTTAGATGGGTTACAAACACAATTCCAACCTAGTCACGTGCAATGGGTGATTACGAAAGTGATTACAACAGCCAATCAGAAGAAAGGACAATACCCCGAGGAGCCAATAAGAACTCAAGTAAAAACAAACCAACCGCCTCAAGTACGGGAAACGTGGGCGACCAAGTCGTGATTGGTTTTATTTTGGTTTTATCAACTGAGTTGATAACGTAAACTGGCCACCGTAAAGACTTTCAAAGCTGACGTTTCGAACGTTAGCCCTTCGTCGAAGCGAATGTTCACATTTGCTTATACTTCGCGTTAACGAGGGGCTAACGCTCGAAACGTCAGCTTTGAAAGTCTTTACGGTGGTTAGTTTACGCTATCAACTCATTCGATAAAACCAAAATTACCTTGTTACTCTAACCGAAGCAGCACCACAGTTTCTTTAGAATCTAACCACTCGCTTTCATTCGTGGTTGGTTTTAGTTTTGCATCATCTGATTGTTTGAGAAAGTGGCGCGAGTTTTTTAGACCAATCACAGAGAAAAGTAAAGCAAAACCAATGCAATGCTAGATTACTTTCCACACAGTTGAAACTTGCTCCATCAGTGCTGGCTTATTTTTTGGAAAATCAGTCCAACTTTCCGAAAGAACCTAGGAATTTTTTTTTCTTCCATTTCTCAGAACTCACTCGGTGGTAGAGTACGGTTTCTTATCACTGGGTCGGCTCCGCTTCGAGATGATGTGATGATCTTCCTAAGATGCGCCCTAGGATGTCAGGTAGATACAAATATCACAGAGTAAGAGAAATATTGTACATCGCAACCAAATGCATGTGTACACTTGGCCGCAAATTTGCCTTCAGCCACGTTTTACCAGGAGTTAAATGATATGTACTCTTTAAGTGTTTCCGGCTCTCTGCGTGTTACCCCTCGGAGTGCTTTTAGTTCGGGGGCGAGAGGGGGGGGGTCAGGGAGGCGACGTTGGGGATCTACAGATTCAAATTAATTTCTAAATAAGTCTAGGTCATATTTTGCCCCAAATTTTTAACTCTGGATATTGGTATCAATTCCTTTGATAAGGCAGTTTTTACATCGCTGCTTTACCCAAGAAGAAGGTTCAGCGAGAACCGGGACAGGGGGCTGCCTACAGAAAGCCCCTTATACCAAGGATTATACCTGGTAAACCGAGTCTGGTCCCCCTGTATACCATTCGAAACAATCAAAAGCCGTGTGTATCAAGAGCGCTGATTTTAGTTGTTTTGGTTTGTTCTCGATGCAGGTCTTGGAAGGATACGGTCAAACAGAGACCACAGCAGCAGCTACGTTGCAGATGATAGGAGACCAAACTTATGGTGAGAGAAAAATAGAAACTGTAAATGTAAAAATTATCCTGCATATTCTCCACACTGTTCTCTGTGTCTTTCTTAAGGTGCTGACAAGGAGAGTTTGTTTAACAATTAAGAGCTTCTTTATTTGCTGATCATTTCCTTTATTCTCCAAACCAACATTTGTGATACAGGGATATTATTGTAAGAAGAAATTAGCTGCTGTTCTTTCTTTGTGGTTAAAGGGTTAACCCCTAACCAGGAAATGGACGAAGCTCCAAAATGCGCGGGCAAAGCTCTTGTTCAGATCATTTCGGGCCGGTTATTTAAACTAAGTCCAGCCGTTCTTTAACAAAACTGCATTCTAAACTATCTTCAATTTGAAGTTTCTGTGTGAACAGTTACTTGTATGAACCACGTCATGAGGGCCGAAAGCTAACAATGTAAGGACATTAATTTGATTTAATCAACCTACTTTTAGAGGATACCTAATGCCCTCTGCTTGCGTAAAACCGCGGTTTGGGTTAAACCTCCTTTAAATAACCGGCCCTCAATCTTTTGCTCCGTCACGTTCTCTTTACCGTCGCCGTCGAGGCACGTTTAAGATCTCTTAGCTTCAAATCCTGGGGCCTGATATGATATCATTGTTTTTATCTGTGTTCCTTTTTGTCAGGTCACGTTGGTCCGCCTTTGCCTTGTACCAAAATAAAGCTTGTTGATGTCCCGGACATGGAGTATTATGCAAAAGATGGAAAAGGCGAGGTCTGTATCTCGTGTTGTTTGTGTTTGTTTCTTTTATCTTATGCTATTTTGAAAATAAGCACATGATCTAACGTCAAAGCAAGCTGAAACCAGAGGAAAAAAAACTGTAAACGCTATTAGTTTGTCTTTCAGTTTTGGCCACAAATTAGGATATTTCATTTCCTTCCCCCTTGCGAGCATCCTCGTGTTTGAGTCAAATGTTTTCTCTTATTCTGAGTGGCTCTTTTCTGATGTCACGTGGCAGATTTGCTTTTACGGGCCGAATGTGTTCAAGGGATACTTGTACGACGAGGAAAAGACAAAAGAAGCTATTGACGAAGACGGTTGGCTTCATTCGGGTGACGTGGGAGAATGGCAGCCGGTGAGTATGATTTGTAGAGGTATCTGAAGGTTTCCCTCCTCCATTATAGTTCACCCCCTACTAGTTCGCCCACGCCTGGACGAGTTCTTCCCACCACTGCTAACAAGTTCGCCCTCAAATAGGAAGAGATTGGAAGACTGGGGGCTAGCCGATAAAGGTGGTGGCGAGCTTAGCACACTCGACAGAGCGAACTTGTCTTCAAGTTAGGACAATTTATATTTCACCATACCATTACTCTTGCGTAGCGATTTCCGATCAGTGGTGATAAGTGTTTTTTGTTTGTTGTTGCAGAATGGTACATTGAAGTTGATCGATCGTAAAAAGCACATTTTCAAGTTATCGCAGGTACATTTATAGGTGTGAAGAAATAAACTCTCATAAGCAGATATCAGATAGTTGACAAAGTTCAGCCCCTTTCTCTGCGTCTCTGCGCTGAGATTGAAATAATCTGATTATTTCAATCTCAGCGCAGAGACGCAGAGAAAGAGGGTGAACTTTGTCAGCGACACTTTTGAATTAATGATAGAAAATTTTTCAAAAACAAAAAAATTAAATAAACGCCGTCGGGGAATATTCTGATTTACAGGAACGTTACAAGTGCTTACCCTTATGAATTTTACTAGAAATGATTGCATTTCTTTCAGACACGATATATTTCATTTCAACTTTTTGGACTCGGTTTGGGATTATTTGAGATACTCTCTGTCAATGAGCACACTGAAATGTTTGCATGTAGATTATTACGGGAGAGAATTTGTTAAAGACTTTAAATTTGTTGCTCCTTTAGGGAGAGTACATCGCACCAGAGAAGGTCGAGACAGTTTACACACAGTGTTCAATGGTTCACCAAGTCTACGTACATGGCGACAGCAAGAAGGTAACCTTTTTAGCTTGATATCAATATGCATATTCTCCATACTGTTCTTTATGCATTTCCTAAGGTGCTGACAAGGAGAATTTGTTTAATAATCAAGGGATTAAGGGATTATTCGATGCTGGTCACTCTTAGTGTGAAAGTGTGAACATAGTCGCGTTTATTTGATGTTATTTGCCGTTCTGTCTTGTTTATTTTTTTGCCTTTTTTTTTCTCCAGTCTTGTCTGGTAGCTGTTGTTGTGCCCGAGAAAGATCCAGTGGAAAAATGGGCCGAGAAGAATGGTGTTGATGGTGCCATGGATTCGTTTTGTACCAACGAGGTAATCTGTGCAATTTTGTGAAGTGGTTAATTCCGAACTCTTTAGAAGGAAAGGAGTGTAGTTATTTTGTATCAATAGGAAAGGTTTAGTAACATGTATTTCTAAGCAGGCATTATTCTATATTTATTTTTTTGCGATCCTTACCTTGCAATGACCAGAACGAGGCGAGTGGTCAGTCAGTGGTCGATAAGCATTGTTTAGAGGGGGCAGGTTGTTTCTTTGTTCATAGATGGGCCAAACTAATTCCTGTCTGGAACCGAACGCTAGTTTCTCTGTTTACTCTCTTCTCTACAGACATACTTACTCTTTCGTGTAAAATTTTTCACGTTGACGACCTATATTCTAGTCAACCCTATCTAGAAGTCATGTCCCTGTCCCTAAGTCTTTTCGTCAACATCGGATATTATATGTCTGACGCATGCCTTTCAGGCGGGAGCATGCGTAGCAAGGGCTAGTTGTAAGAGGGAAATAACCATTGTCAACTCTTGGTGACGTCTTTCTGGGCAGCGGTCTCTTCATCAATGGGTAAAATTTAACTTGCAAATTGTGTTTCCAATTCCCTTCTAATTGCTGTACTTTCCTGAATTTCTAGAAAGTAAATAAAGCCATTTTAGATCAGATGATTGCAGAGGGCAAGAAAGAACAGCTCAAGTCTTTTGAACAGGTAAATAACGAATAGTAACTTTGATTTTTTCAGTCGTGGGATCTTATTCTCATACTCGTGAGGGAAGTGGAAGCACAGACGTTTTGTAGACTCGGACTTCAACCAAAAATTTTAAGCTTTATACTATGGCGCTTGCTAAAGATCTTTCGTCTCTAGCGGTGGTTCAAAAAAGTTTAAACAAAGGCTTCCTTGTTGATTCGAACGTGTCAAAGCGCACCCAAATAATTTTCATTTCCCCGTCTTTTGGACGCCTTCCCCTGTCTGAAAATGTCTATGCTCCCGTTCCCTGAGGGAAATAGTTGGTATTGTTTATCTGAAAATCTCGATATTTGACTCAAGGCTGTTTAACAAATGGACAGTGGTTTAGCGTGGTCCGTACTCTTGTCGACAACGATGTTCGTCATCATATTGGTCAAAATGTTGTGGACTTACGAGGGTCGCCTGGGATGGACTAGCATCTCTACAGGGGGGAGTAGCATCACTCCCGATCGTTTTATGTCAAAGAAACTGATGATCTCTGTCCAGCCGTCCGTTTCTCGAAAGTCCCGGTGACTTAACATGCCCTAAGCCATGTTTCGAAATCAAAACTTAAACAGTAGACAAGCTGGTTCCGTTTCGCCCTAACCAGTCCATCTTGTTTCATTAGATGATTGTTTTATTGCATAACTTTCAATACTTTTGAAACCATGAATGAAATCAAAACAGCTTTACGAACCCGTCAACTTATCGGGACCTTCGAGAAAAGGGCCTCAGACGGGGACTCTACTCGGCCCCATTGCCAAAGAAATCCTATTCTGCTGCTACTTTTATGGTTTCGAGTGGCTCTCTTTTAATGTTTATTTGTTTCAGGTCAAAGCGATTTCGCTGACACCGGAGATTTTCACGGTCGAAAATGGACTTCTTACACCAACACTGAAATTCAAGCGACCAGCCCTGAAAAAACACTTTTTACAAACATTCGAAGACCTCTACACTACAATACCAGAGTAAATATTGTATTAATACAAGATAAGTTTTGTTTTATCCAATTCTATTTGTTCTTATACAAACAATTCACATACACGTTTTTTTAATATATGAATAATTACTGATGGATTTGAGTATCTATTTCAAGCAAATTATTTCTTGATTCAAATACAGTAAACAATTAGATAGAAAAGTACTTGCTTAGGTAGAAAACAAAGTTACAGTTATTGGTTCGAACTCCGGTGTAAAAGTCGGTCGTGTGGGCCGATGGTCTGCGTGAGAGTAGCCCTGGAGAGGAATGGTGACTAACGTCCCGACAATATGAGGGGATGACAATACGAGTGGAAGTCAAAATTAGTCTGTTGATGACTTCTCTAACGGTTTCCAAAACGTGTGAATCAGCCCATTCTAAGCAAAACTCTCACCCACACGATCGCTCCACGCCATCGATTTTAAAAGCGTATGTACGATAAAACAGGAGTTGGAAAATAATATATTTTTTAAGTCTTTTTCTGCGGTTTTCATACTGTTTTCTGAGTCACACAAAGTAATAACTAACCAATCAGTGAAGCATATGCTTCAGAATTCTCGATCATGACATCATGGGCAAATCAAATGAGAAACCAATTAACGATCGCGTTTCTTTTTCCATTCGATTTAAGAGCAAACAACAGCCTGTTTTCTGTGATTGGTTATGCTAAGTTAGTAAAGTCGCCCCTGCCACAAAATTTTTCGTTTTTATTTTATCTGATTTCTTTGTTATCCACTTTCTACATCGCGAAATTTAAACCAGTAGATTGTGGGATATTCGACAATGTATTATTTATCGGTAGATAGTTGGACAAGAGCGAAACCTCGGGTCAACTTTGAAAATCGGTTAAATTAGTTTGCAAGTCTTTGAATGAAGCTTGGCAAATATAGAAATTTTGTTTGTGATTTATTAAAAATTATTTATCGGCGAAAGACTGTTTTAAACTCATTGTGGTGGACGTTCTTTTACATAATAAGAGCATTGGGAAATAACACGAGATTCCCGTGTGATTTTTAACAAGAACGAGTTTTTTAGCTGTGTAAGGGAACACTTCCATGTTAATTTATAATGGTGATCAAGATTTTGTCTCCGTAAATTTTAAGTATTAAAGCTCAAACACTAGAATTTTTTCAAAACATTTTCAGCTTTTACATGCGATAGTCTCTAGCTGTCAAGTAACTGGAGTTGTAGCGATAGATTGATAACTCATCAATCGTCAGAGCAAGTTATCCTGGATTTTTACGTTCTTACTTCACCTTACTCGGTTATTGGTTCAGAAGAAACTCACGCCAGCTTAGCAACCAATCGAATGCGGAAATAAAACCATTCGTGACTTAGTCCCGCATATTTTCCCGCGCTTTTGTATGTTTCACGTGTATTTACTTTGAGGTCTCGTTGGCAAAATTTGATGTGAATCTTTGTTTTGATTGTTTGTTGTGATTTCTTACGGCACACAATCGATGGGTGTTGTAACAGACATTTTAAAAAGTAGGGATGGATTTGATATAATCTGTTTGGGTTGAATAATGATTTTCTTGCGTTGATTGTTGTAGCTTGCTCAATGTAAAATTATGAATAAAGTGATATGATTAAAGAAAATATAATTTGATTGTTGCATTTTTTTTTTTTTTGGGTACTTCTTTGCTTTTGATCTTGTGTTCAGTTGTTTTGCCTTACTTGGTTTCCAATGTGGTTTCCATACTGTCTCCCTGGTTTTGTGCCATCTCAGTTCCCTCTAACTTAACATAATGAGGAATGTTTGCAAAACTAGACAAACTGAGACTATTATCATTAACGCTCCTCTGTCCATCAAAGCTAATTAACTGTTGTCAGTCTAACATCAGTGTGCATATTCTCCATACTGTTCTTCATACATTACCTAAGGTGCTGACAAGGAGAATTTGTATGACAATCCACAGCTTCTTTAGTTGGTGATCATTTCTTTAATTCTCGTGACCTTAATGTGTAATTCAGGGTGAGAAAGTTCGGTAACATCGTACATCTTACCAAACTTGTTTTTCCTTACAATACGTCTTTTAATTAGCCACAGCCTCGAATTTTTTTATTCACCCACTCCCACTCACTCCTTTCCTTTCCAAAAGACCTTTACTCTTTTATTTCTTCCCAGCCATTTCTAAGGTTTTTCCTTTTTTTTTTTTTTTTTTCCTGAAATCGTTTACTTTCATTCGCTGTGGGTCCCGGCTTTGTACATGTATAAGTAAATTTCGATTAAAAAAAAATGTGCATGTTTCAAATATCCGTCCAGAACGTTACAAGAAATACAGCGTCAAATATGAAAACCTGTATAGAATAAAACTTTAACCAAGAGAAGTGAGCAGGTACTAAAAGCTCCTTTCAGGAGGAAATATTTGATTTTTGGATTTCCAAAACAGAAACTTTAAAACTTGGGAATTTCTTTGTGTAATAGGATAACTGAATGAGGAAAATAGGAGCAAAACAACCTCTTTCCATACGACTATAAAAAAAAAAAAGAAACAACACCAACAAACACACAAACAAGCAAAAAAAAAAAAAGATAAAGAAATCCAACCGATCGTTGGCTGACAAGGATATATGCCTTGGTCCCGTCGTCGTGGTTACTTAGCGACTCTATCGCGTTTTGTGAGTAGTCTGGACAAGAGTTTAGATTTACATAGTGCAGGAGCCCGTCAACTCGGAAATTTATAGGAAACAAAGACAAAACTAGACCTCATGAAGTTCAATAAAACTTCTGATAAATATTTTTGAAGGAAGCGACAAAACTTTTGAGTCTGTACTACATGTTTCGACAGAAACTTCTGTCATCTTCAGTTAATCACTGTACAAAGCGTTGGAAGTTGAATTAAAAAGTGAGCAGAACAATGCTAATTATGATAAATAGTGATAAGAAGAAAGGAGGTAAAGCTTGAAAGTGTGAGAATTAAAAGGATAGTTTTAGATTTAGATGGTGTAATTGTTGTTTCAGGGATGGTTGTACTATTTGATCATGAATATGAATAGCCTCTTGAAAGGGCATATTGTATTTCGGGACTGGACTGGACTAGTAAAACGCGGATTAGTAAAACGCGGATTAGTAAAACGCGGACTAGTAAAACACGGACTAGTAAAACGAGGACTAGTAAAACGCGGACTTGTAAAACGCGGACTAGTAAAAAAGGGCCTAATTTTTTTTCATGTTTTTCCTTGTTTGTAAATCGATAAAACTTAACGGACTTAACAACAGCAACACCAAAAAAAATTTCAAACGAAGGCGATCACAAGACTTAATGGCGAGCCCATTTTAAAAAATTTGTCCATTTGATGTTGTGCCAATTCATTTCGACGGTTTAGGGAGTGACAATCCCTGTTTGACCTTTAAGCTACAAATGGGTTTGACTTGCGCCAGATACAAACGATTTTAAAAGTTAAAATGAGAGGTAGTTGCGGTTAACAGTTACGTTAATCAATGTGACTCTCATTCGTTAATATCTGA